GCTGCATTGCCACAGAGAATCTGAGAAGCTGCCCGGAGGAAGTAACATCTAAGCTGAGGGCTGAAAAATCAGATCTGGATGAGATAGAGAGTTGGACTATAAAGAAAGCTGAGCGCTGAAGAATTATTGCTTCTGAACTGTGGTGTTGGAGAAGACTTTTGAGAGTCCCTTGGACAGCAAGGACATCCAACCAGTCCATCATAAAGGAAATCAGTCCTGAATATTCATTGGAAGGACTGATGCTGACGCTGCAACTCCAATACTTGGGCCACCTGGTGCGAAGAACCAACTCATTGGAAAAGACCCTGATGCTGGGAAAGACTGAAGGCAGGAGGAGAAGGGGATGACAGAGAATGAGATGGTTGGATGGCATCACCGACTGAATGGACATGAGTTTGAATAAACGCTGGGAGTTAGTGATGGACAGGGAGGCCTGGCGTGCCGCAGTTCATGGCGTTGTAAAGGGTCAGACACGACTGAGCGACTGAGCTGAACTGAGGAAAAAGAGAAGGCACAGGGGTGTTCTGGGCAGAGAGAATAGCCTAAAATCAGAGAGCAGAGCAAGCACAGCCCATCCAGGGGAAGATGGAGCACAAAGCTTGCGTGGGGTGATGGTGATAGAAGAGGCTCAGGAAGAGGGTGAGGAAGGATCACCAGCAACCCTGCAAACCACCTCAAGGAATTTTCCTTAGCCCAGTGGAAGCCATTCAAGTATTTTAAGAGAGGAAGCAATTGCATATCCATTTTTTAAAAAGTCACTTTGCAACAGAATGAAGAGATAGACAAAACCAAACCAAACCAAGCCAACAACGGGGATTTTTCACTCTCTTCTTGATAACTTTTGATTTTTACGTAATTTCAAAACAGTAATATGTGTCACCTGTGAAAAAAACAATAAAGCCATTTTCATTATTCATATTTTAAAAACCTACCTTGGCAAAGGACCTGAACAGATACTTCACCAAAGAACATAGATTGAAAAACAAGCATTGGAAAAGATGCTCGTATCATATGGCGTCAGGGAAATGCAAATTAAACAGTGAGATACCATTGTATGCCTGTTGGAATGGCTGAAACCCAGAACACTGATGTGATCAAATGCTGGCAAGGATGTAGGACAACAGGGACTCTCGTTCACTGCTGGTGGGAATGCAAAGTGGTGCAGCCACTTTCAAAGACAATCTAGTGGTTTCTTACACAGCTAAGCATCCTCTTAACATATGACCCAGAAATCGTGCTTCTTGGTATTTACTCAAATGAGTTGAAAACTTATGTTCAATACAAAGACATGCACATAGATGTTTATCACAGCTTTATTCATACTTGTCAACACTTGGAAGCAATCAAGATGCCCTTCAGTAGGTAAATGGATAAATTGTGGTATATGAAGAAAATGAAATATTATTGAGCTCTAAAAAGAAATGGGCTATTAAACCATGAAAAAATATGGAGGAAACTTAAATGCATATTTCTAAGTAAAATAAGCTAATCTGAAAGGCTACACACAGTATGACTCCAATGATAAGATATTCTGGAAAAGGTAAATGTTGTTGTTATTTAGTTGCTAACTTGTGTCTGACTCTTTGGGACTCCATGAACAGTAGCAAACCAGACTTCCCTGTCCTTCACTATCTCCCAGAATTTGCTCAAACTCATGTCCATCGAGTTGATGATGACATCCTCGTCATACCCTTCTCCTTCTGCCTTCAGTCTTTCCCAGCATCAGGGTCTTCTCTAATGAGTCCCCTCTTCCCATCAGGTGGCCAAAATATTGGAGCTTCAGCTTCAGTATCAGTCCTTCCAATGAATATTCAGGGTTGATTTCATTTCAGATTGACTGGTTTGATCTCCTCGCAGTCCAAGGGACTCAAGCATCTTCTCCAACACCACAGTTCAAAAGCATCAATTCTTCAGTGCTCAGCTTTCTTTATGGTCCAACTCTCACATCAATANGCACTCAGCTTTCTTTATGGTCCACCTCTCACATCCATATACAACTACTGGAAAAATCATAGCTTTGACTATATGGCCTTTTGTTGGCAAAGTAATTCTCTGCTTTTGAATATTCTGTCTAGGTTGGTCATAGCATGTCTTCCAGGGAGCAAGCGTCTTTTAATTTCATGGCTGAAGTCACCATCTGCAGTGATTTTGAAGCCCAAGAGAAAAAAGTTTGTCACTGTTTCCATTGTTTCCCCATCTATTTGCCATGAAGTGACGGGGCCCAACCCCATGATCTTCGTTTTCTGAATGTTGAGTTTTAAGCCAACGTTTCAGTCTCCTCTTTCACCTTCATCAAGAGCCTCTTTAGTTCCTCTTCAGTTTCTGCCATAAGGGTGGTGTCATCTGCATATCTGATGCTATTGATATTTCTCCCGGCAATCTTGATTCCAGCTTGTGTTTATCCAGCTCAGCATTTTGCTTGATGTACTCTACATAGAAGTTAAATAAGCAGGATGACAATATACGGCCTTGACTTACTCCTTTCCCAGTTTTGAACCAGTCAGTTGTTTCATGTCTGGTTCTAACTCTTGCTTCTTGACCTGCACACAGATTTCTCAGGAGGCAGGTAAGGTAGCCTGGTATTCCCATTGCTTTAAGAATTTTACACAGTTTGTTATTTATGATCCACACAATCAAAGAGTTTAGTGTAGTTAAAGAAGCAGAAGTAGTTGTTTTTCTACTTCTAAGGTAAACCTGTGAGACAGTAGAAAGATCAATTGTTGCCAGGGGTTAGAGGAGAGGGAGGGATGAACAGGCAGAACATGAAAGAATTATAGGGCAATGAAAGTATTCTGTATGATAGTCTAATGATGGGTATGTGTCATTATGCATGTGTCTAAACCCACAGAATGTATAACACCAAGAGTGACCCTAGCATAAACTCTGGGTGATGACACGGTGTCGATGTAGGTTCATCTCTTGTAACAGATGCACCTCTCTGTGGCAGGATTTTGATAATAGGGAAGGTTGTGCATCTGTGGGGTGTATGAGAAATCACTATATTTTTTGCTTCATTTTGCTGTGAAACCAAAACTTCTCTGAAAAAGTGCCTATTAAAAAGAAAAGAGAAAGAAAAAACAAAGAAGCGAAAAGCAGAGTCCCCGCCGCCTCCCCAGGCCCTCCCCCTGGAGTTGAGCAGAGAGGAAGGAGGTGAGGCAGGAGGCAGGGAGAGCTCCCCAGATGCCGGGGCGGGGACCGCGCAGGAGGGCAGGGGCCTGCGGCTGCGCAGAGGGAATGGGGCCGGGATCCGGGAGCACCCCCTAGACCTGGGGCTTGACTGGCTGGTGGGTAGGGCAGAGGAGGAGATCCAGGAGCACGCCAAAGCTCTGCCTCACCAGCCACGTGGGGTGATGCTGGTCACAGAGACAGGCAGCATCAACCAACCAGCCAACACGCAGAGCCAGTCACATTTCATGGAGATGAAACCGCACCACCTGTGGTCCTTTGTGACTGGCTTTTTAAACTTAGCAGAGTATTTTTGAGGTTCATCCAGGTTGCAGCATGCGTCATTCCTTTTAATGGCCATATAGTATTTCCATTGTATGTGGATACGTTATATTTTATTTATCCATTCATCGGTTGATGGACATTTGGGTTCTTTCTACTTTTTGATTGTGATTAATAATGCTGCTGTGACAATCTGTGGACACAGTTCTGTGTGAACATATCCTTTCATTTTTCCCATTGCTCGCTTGTATACTAACTCTGTGTTCAGCATTTTAAGAAATTGCCAGGGTGTTTTCACAAAATGCCCTTAGATCCCCAGTAACATTTTCTTTTGGCTTTAAAACTTATTTTGTTTGATAATAGTATATCAACTCCAACTTTCTTATAGTTATCTTTTACCTTTTGAAAAAAGATGATTTTATCACAAATGTATGCTGCCATAACTAGTATATTATTAAGTTATGCATGTTCTCAGCTTGATTAAAATGATGTCACACTATAAACATTGTTTTCTTGGAGTTGCTCTTTTCACTCATGCTATTTCTAAGACTCATCTGTGTTTTTCTATATTATTATAATTACATTTTCACTGCTGTGTAATATTCTACTTTGTGACCCTACCATAATTTATTTATCCATCCTCCTATCAATGGATATTTGAAATGTTCCCACATTTCCAGTATTTTGCTACTACAAATTTATTGCTACTGTAAACATTCTTATCTTCTTTATTGCTGCTGTAAACATTCTTATCTTCTCTTGTTCTCGAAGTGACCAGTGACAGTCACAGCTGGATACTTGTTAGAAATGATTCCCAGTGGCTCAGATGGTAAAGTGTCTGCCTGCAGTGTGGGACACCCGGGTTTGATCCCTGGGTTGGGAAGATCCCCTGGAGAAGGAAATGGCAACCCACTCCAGTACTCTTGCCTGGAAAATTCCATGGACTGAGGAGCCTGGTGGGCTACAGTCCATGGGATCGCAAAGAGTCAGACATGACTGAGCGACTTCACTTTCATCCCAGACTCACTGAATCAGAAACTCTGCGGATGGGGCCCAGAAATCTGTAGGTTTTTAAAATTTTATTTTTATTTATTTATTTTGGCTTTAGTAGCAGTATGTGGGATATGTTTCAGTGGTAGCACATGCGATTTAGTTCCCTGACCAGGGATGGAGACCCCTGCACTGGGAGCGTGGGGTCATAGCCACTGGACCACTAGAGAGGTCCCAATCTGTAGGTTTTAACATGCCCTCTAGGGGGCTTCTGATGCCTGATGAAATTTGAGAATCGTTGCTCTAGGGTATAAAAAAGAGTGGCATTTCAGGATTCTAGGCAACAGGTTGTTTTCCAAAGTGGTTGTTCCATGTAACTCTCCATCATCAGTGTCTATGAGCCCCCAAGGACAGAACCCCTTTCAGCACTTACGATTGCTGGTGCTTTCTCTTCCCTGGCTGTGCTGCCGTTATCTCCGAAGCATAGTTGTACCCCGCCCAGGGGAGGCTCGGCCGTCACCGTGGATAAAAGCTTCTCTCTGAAATGTGTGTTTGTTTTACAGGAGTACATGCACCATCTGCTCCTCCTGGAACACCGTGCCGAGGAGCAGTTCCTGGAGCACTGGCTGAACCCACACTGCAAACCCCACTGCGACAGGAACCTGGTCCATCCCATCTAAGAGGCTCGGGACCAGCCTCTGGTATGTTCCCTCTCCCAGCCCTTCTGTTTCAGGGAGACAGCAGTGAGCAATGCAGGCAGGACTCTGGGGGCCTTTGAGAACATGATGCTGCAGGAACCAGCAGGTCAGCTAGTTACGGGTTGGAGAGTGGGAGGGGCGAGGCGTGGGAGGTGGGTGGGGACCAGGTGGAGAGGTTCACTGGGGACAGGCAGGGGGCCTGACTCCTGCTGAGCCACCTGGAGACCCCAAACAGGGGCGGGGTGAGATCCCAAACAGGGGCGGGGTGAGACCCCAAACAGGGGAGTGATGAGATCCCAAACAGGGGAGGGGTGAGAGAGACCCCAAACAGGGGAGTGATGAGATCCCAAACAGGGGAGGGGTGAGACCCCAAACAGGGGAGGGGTGAGACCCCAAACAGGGGAGGGGTGAGATCCCAAACAGGGGAGGGGTGAGACCCCAAACAGGGGAGGGGTGAGACCTTGTTTGCCACCCACAAAGTCCCTCTGGAATACAAAACTGGAGAAGTGTGGCTTGTTGAGACTTGGGTCTTTCCAGGGGGGGTCAACATCCATGGGCTTGACAGGTGACATCACAAGGGTCACCACTGTCACGAGGATCAGAAGCTTATTTTTTTGCCCCATCTTAGTTCCCTGACCAAGGATCACACCCAGGTCCCAGGGGTGGGAACACCAAGTCCTAACCACTAGACTGCTAGGGAATTCCCTAGGACCAGCGCCTTCTTTACGGCCTCCGCACCTTCCAGCCTGGGCCCCTGCCCAGCCAGCCCAGTCTGCCCTCCTCCTTCGGCTCTGCCGTTTCAGCTCCCCTGAGCTGGATGGCTCAGCCTTCTCCGGACACCCGAGCCCTGCACCTCTGTTCCTGCGAGGGGCTGCTGCAGGTTCCCTCACTGTCCATCCGTGTCCATGTCCTCGCTCCCTTCCAATTCTTGCCAGATAACACAGCAAAACCCCTTCGGAGGTGAAGCTGGGTGAGTTTCATTTCTCCTCTGTCACGTGGATGGAGTAAGCAGGACAGAAGAGACAACTTGACACTCGATCAGCTGTGATTAACAGACGTCTTGTTCCCTTCTTGTTCATTCTGTGCCATTGTGAGTGGACACGTGAACACCCCCTTCAGAGGACTGCTCTTTGTAATTTTCAGGGTGCTGTTATACAAAACCTCTCATTTGGTCCTCTGAACATCCTTGGGTCATTGCAGGGCGTGAGTTTTAATCCTGTTTTTTTTTTTTTTTTTCCTTTTTTAGTTTTGGTTGTGCTGGGTCTTTGCTGCGACACTCAGGCATTCTCTAGTTGCACCGAGCGGGGTCTACTCTTCGTTCCAGTGGGCAGGCTTCTCATTGCAGAGGCTTCTCTGGTTGCGGAGCACAGGCGCTAGGCACATGGGCTTCAGGAGTGGCAGTAGTCAGGCTGAGTAGCTGTGGCTTCTGGGTTCGAGAGCATGGGTTCGGTGGCTGTGGCACATGGGCTTACTGGCTCCGCAGCGTGTGAAATCCTCCCGGCCGTTTGTTGAACCCGTGTCCCCTGCACTGGCAGGCGGGTTCTTATCCCCTGGACCACCAGGGAAGTCCTTAATCCTGTTTTATAGGGGATTTAACTGAGTGTGATTAAGCGACTAATGCATGCCAGCCCGTGGCTGATAGGGCTGTCTTCTGACAGCCCCAGGTCCTGCACGCTTTCTGCAGGCTATGCTGCTGGGACCTGTGTGTGTGTGTTGTGGGGGTAGATGGGGCACGGTCCTCCTGAACGTAAGAGGAGCCTCTCCTAGGAACAGGAGTTCTGTGTTTGAGGTCTAGGGGCTCTGCTAACATCCAGCTTTAGTCCCTCCAGGCTCTTAGCTGGTTCCTTCCTCTGCCAGCACTTGTCCCTCCCCTGCACCTAAGACCTTTGTCCTCCAGCATCAGAAGCCCTTGCTTGTGGAGTACATAAGCCCTCAGACCCTGGAACCTGGCGGGCTTGAGTTTGGCACTCTGGCATTTCTGCTCTGTGACCCTGGACAAGCCCCCTACCCTCTCTGAGTCTCTGAGTTGGGGTGGTGATGATGTGTACAGAGCCAGGCACGTCGTGACTGACTCCACAAGCAGGGTCCATTGTCACCTTTGGGGCAGGCCAGGTGAGAGGAGAGACTTCCAGGTTGGCGAGCCGCAGGGCAGCAGCCTCGCTTCTGGTGGTGGTGGGCTGGCTTCTGCAAAACAGAGGATTCCGCGGGGGCCTCGCTTCAGAAGACCAGGAAGCGGATGGGGGGATATAGCATTCTGACTGTGACTCCACTTCGGAAAAAAATATTCCTCACTTCTCTCTCAGCTTCCTCATTTGTAACACGTAAGGGTTGCCCCGCATATGGCTATTCAGAGCATTAATGTTGCGGAGCACAGGCGCTAGGCACATGGGCTTCAGGAGTGGCAGTAGTCAGGCTGAGTAGCTGTGGCTTCTGGGTTCGAGAGCATGGGTTCGGTGGCTGTGGCACATGGGCTTACTGGCTCCGCAGCGTGTGAAATCCTCCCGGCCGTTTGTTGAACCCGTGTCCCCTGCACTGGCAGGCGGGTTCTTATCCCCTGGACCACCAGGGAAGTCCTTAATCCTGTTTTATAGGGGATTTAACTGAGTGTGATTAAGCGACTAATGCATGCCAGCCCGTGGCTGATAGGGCTGTCTTCTGACAGCCCCAGGTCCTGCACGCTTTCTGCAGGCTATGCTGCTGGGACCTGTGTGTGTGTGTTGTGGGGGTAGATGGGGCACGGTCCTCCTGAACGTAAGAGGAGCCTCTCCTAGGAACAGGAGTTCTGTGTTTGAGGTCTAGGGGCTCTGCTAACATCCAGCTTTAGTCCCTCCAGGCTCTTAGCTGGTTCCTTCCTCTGCCAGCACTTGTCCCTCCCCTGCACCTAAGACCTTTGTCCTCCAGCATCAGAAGCCCTTGCTTGTGGAGTACATAAGCCCTCAGACCCTGGAACCTGGCGGGCTTGAGTTTGGCACTCTGGCATTTCTGCTCTGTGACCCTGGACAAGCCCCCTACCCTCTCTGAGTCTCTGAGTTGGGGTGGTGATGATGTGTACAGAGCCAGGCACGTCGTGACTGACTCCACAAGCAGGGTCCATTGTCACCTTTGGGGCAGGCCAGGTGAGAGGAGAGACTTCCAGGTTGGCGAGCCGCAGGGCAGCAGCCTCGCTTCTGGTGGTGGTGGGCTGGCTTCTGCAAAACAGAGGATTCCGCGGGGGCCTCGCTTCAGAAGACCAGGAAGCGGATGGGGGGATATAGCATTCTGACTGTGACTCCACTTCGGAAAAAAATATTCCTCACTTCTCTCTCAGCTTCCTCATTTGTAACACGTAAGGGTTGCCCCGCATATGGCTATTCAGAGCATTAAAAAAGTCAGGGCATGGAAAATAGTACTGCCCGCCACATGCTAGGAAGTGTTCAGGAAATGACAATTTGGTAGCTGTTTCCCCTGCCCTCCTCCTCCCCACTTTTTCTTCTTTATCAACACATCATCACATTGACATTATTTTCGTTAAAAAAATTTTTTTTAAAAACCTTTTAACTTTATATTGGAGTACAGCCAATTAACAATGTGATAGTTTCAGGTGGATAGCAAAGGGTCTTAGCCATATATATACATGTATCCTTTCCCCCCCAAACTCCCCTCCCATCCAGGCTGCTCAGTAATGTTGAGCAGAGTTCCCTGTGCTATACAATAGGTCCTTGTTGGTTATCCATTTTAAACGCAGCAGTGTGTGCCTGTGGAGCCAAAATCCCCTGACTATTCTTTCCCTACATCTTTCCCCCTGGTAACCATAATTTCCTTCTCTAAATTGGTGAGTCTACTTCTGTTTTGTAAACAAGTTATTTGTATAATTTCCTGTTAGATTCTTCATATAAGGGATAGCATATGATATTCGTCTTTCTTTGTCTGACTTAGTTCACTCAGTATGACAATCTCTAGGTCGATCCATGTTGCTGAAAATGGCATTATTTCATTCTTTTTAGTGGCTGAGTAATATTCCATCGTATATACGTACCACATTCTTTACCAACATCATCATCATCATCACCTTATCTTCTTGTTCTTTTCCAGCAGGTGCTTTGATGAGCAAAGGCCCGGATACTATTGAAACAAGATGAGGCTCCTTTCATTTCTTTTCCAGTTGTGGAGTGGAGATCTCCAGGGCTTGTGAATTGTGGGCACAGCAAGATTGTCTTGGGACTAACGGCAAATATTTATGCTGCTTCACTTTACTAACCTGAACAACTCATTAAAACCAATCCCTTAAACTGTAGATCCTCCCTCCCTCCCCTTCAATGATCCCTTCCTACCAGTTTGAAGGGTAAGTAGAAGGGGAATCTTTCCTGGGGCTGGTGGAGCTGGGACCTCCAGAACAGGAGAGAGGTTAGTGGGAAAGCCTTGTTCAGCCCAGTGAAACACACCACTCAGGCTGCGGGGGTTTTGGTCATTGCTTTTTTTCCTCTCTCCTTTTCTGCTCTAATAAATACTGGTGTTAAACCTACTTTCTATTGGTGTCTGTTTTCATTTCCTAGAAGAAGAGAAGCAGAAAATTTCTCCCTTGTTTGTCTTTGTGACTCCAGCATCAGAAAATTCACTCTTCTTAGAATAGTTGGATGGATGAAAACACAAACACCCAGCAGTTTTCCACAAAGGTCATCTTTTTTGGTAAAGAGATTATTTGTCCAAGACTAGCTGTGGGAATATGGCCATAAGTTAGTACTAGGTCCACACCCTGGTCTCGTAGCCAAGGGGACATTTCTTGTGGAAAATGGGTCACAGCTTCCGTATGTCAGTGCCCCTTACCTGCTCACAACCCCCAGAATCAGAGACTGGACTATCAAAGATGAACAAAAGTAGAAACTTGGAGGGCAAGGGAAAGTGGGCTGGGTGGTCCTACGAAGAATGTGGCATCCTCAAAAGGGATAAGGAGAGATGCTCGTCCACCCTGGGTTACAGAGGCGGGTCTGTGCCAAGGGATCCCAGGAGGGCTTGTCCAGGAGATAGCGACTGAGCTTCTCAACAATGATACTGTATTTATTTTATACCCACTAAAGTTCTGCCTAGTCACAGGTATCGTTTTTCCAGCAGTCATGTGTAGATGTGAGAGCTGGGCCATAAAGAAGGCTGAGTGCCGAAGAATTGATGCTTTCAAACTATGGTGCTGGAGAAGACTCTTGAGAGTCCCTTGGACAGCAAGGAGATCCAACCAGTCCATCCTAAAGGAAATTCTCTTCTTAGAATAGTTGGATGGATGAAAACACAAACACCCAGCAGTTTTCCACAAAGGTCATCTTTTTTGGTAAAGAGATTATTTGTCCAAGACCAGCTGTGGGAATATGGCCATAAGTTAGTACTAGGTCCACACCCTGGTCTTGTAGCCAAGGGGACATTTCTTGTGGAAAGTGGGTCACAGCTTCCGTATGTCAGTGCCCCTTACCTGCTCACAACACCCAGAATCAGAGATTGGACTATCAAAGATGAACAAAAGTAGAAACTTGGAGGGCAAGGGAAAGTGGGCTGGGTGGTCCTACGGAGAATGTGGCATCCTCAAAAGGGATAAGGAGAGATGCTCGTCCACCCTGGGTTACAGAGGCGGGTCTGTGCCAAGGGAGCTCAGAAGGGCTTGTCCAGGAGACAGCTACTGAGCTTCTCAACAATGATACTGTATTTATTTTATACCCACTAAAGTTCTGCCTAGTCACAGGTATGGTTTTTCCAGCAGTCATGTGTAGATGTGAGAGCTGGGCCATAAAGAAGGCTGAGTGCCGAAGAATTGATGCTTTCAAACTGTGGTGCTGGAGAAGACTCTTACGAGTCCCTTGGACAGCAAGGAGATCAAACTAGTCCATCCTAAAGGAAATCAACCCTGAATATTCATTGGAAGGACTGATGATGAAGCTGAAACTCCAATACTTTTGCCACTTGGTGTGAAGAACTGACTCATTGGAAAAGACCCTGATGCTGGGAAAGATTGAGGGCAGGAGAAGGGGTGACAGAGGATGAGATGGTTGGATGGCATCATTGACTCAATGGACATGAACTTGAGCAAACTGTGGGAGATAGTGAAGGACAGGGAAGTCTGGCGTGCTGTCGTCCATGGGGTGGCAAAGAGTCGGACACGACTGAGCGACCGAACAACAGTGGGCTGGGCATGTGCACGCTCAGTCGAGTTCAACTCTGTGACCCCAAGGACTGCAGCCCCCCAGGCTCCTTGGTCCATGGGATTTCCCATGCAAGAGTACCGGAGTGGGTTTCCATTTCCTACTTGAGAGGATCTTCCCGACCCAGGGATCAAACCCATACCTCTTGTGTCTCCTGCACTGGCAGCTGGCTTCTTTACCAACTCTGCCACCTGGGAATCCACGATGGGCTGAACCCCGCACAGAGATTTTTATATACATTACTTCATCTGATCATCACACTGTAGACAAAATACACTGCCTGCGTTTCAGTAAACAATGAATGTTGCCCACCATCAAGCCATCAACCACTGCAGCTACCCCTGACCACGTGTCCTGAAGGGAATTCAGGACAGAGAAAAACAGGATCCTGGCCCTAGATAGTGGAGATGCCTATCGAAGGAATAATTTCAACGTGTCCAGAGTTGCCACTTCCATAGGTGGCAAGGTGGCACTAGTGGTAAAGAATCTGCCTACCAATCCAGGAGATGTAAGAGACCAGAGTCTTGCCTGGAAAATCCCATGGACAGAGAAGCCTGGCAGGCTACAGTCCATGGGGGTCTCAAGAGTTGGAGATGACTGAAGCGACTTAGCACTTGTAGATAGAAAAGCAGTAAATTCTTTCATTTATTGAGTAATTCATTAATTCATTGAGTAAATTCACTGAGATGTCTGCTTTTTTGTGATTAGCAGTAATTTTTTGGTGTTTGCCTACAAGTCTTCTATTATTTTCTGGCGGCACCATGTGGCTTGCAGGATCTTAGTTCCTCAAGTAGGGATTGAACCTGGGCCATGGGAGTGAAAGCGTTGAGTCCTAACCACTGGGAATTCCTTGTTTCCTCTCCGCCCCCCAGCAAAAAGTCCTGTATGTTGTGGCTTCTCCCCAAATCTGGGAGGCCGTGTCTCAGGCTATAGTCCTCAGTAAGGTCCCTGAATAAAACTTCACTTGAAACCTTTAGGTGGTACTTTTTTCTTCAGTTGACAACACCTACTCTGGGAAGTGACTGTAGTGATTATTTCCACTTTATAGATGAAAAAACTGAGATTTACAGAATTTAGGTGGTGTATTAATTTTCTATCTCTCTATAAAAGAAGACCAGAACCTTTAACACAAATTTATTTTCTTACATTCTGCAGGTCAGAAGTCTAACATGAGTGTCATGAGGTTGAAGTCAGAGTGTCTGCAGACAGAGCCGTCCTGCGCAGGCCACCACCACGCCTGGGTCTCGGGGTGTTTGCTGAGAAGTAGGAGCCGCACGTGTGTGTGGGGCACAGAACGCAAGATAATTCCCCTGATGAGTCCCAAAGATGAGAAGAAATGAAGCAGATTCACAGCAAAGCAGACTCTGAGGGAGCCAAGGTCTCCTGTCCCATCAGAGAAAGAGGGGCCTCTTTGAGTTGCTAGGAACCATAGATGCAGCTCATATCTCAGGGGCAGACACTCCTCTTATGATCAGGGAGATTTCTTCCTTGGTCAGACAGACCCTGATTTTCAACCTCCTCCCTGGAGGCGCATTGGGGCACCCGGTCCCTGAGGCCACAGACGAAGGGGCTCGAGCTCTGGGTTCACAGTGAGCTCCCTCCAAAGTCAGCTCCCCTGCCTCACAGACGGAGGGTTCAGCAAACGGACTTGGGGCTTCCCTGGTGGTCCAGGGGCTAAGGATCTGCCTTTCAGTGCAGGGGACACAGGTTAGACCCCCGGTCCAGGAAGATCCCACGTGCCTTGGGGCAACTAAGCTCATGAGCCACAACTACTGACGCCCAAGTGCCTAGACCCCATGTTCTGCTGCAACAAGAGAAGCCACCTCAATGTGAAGCTTGCACGCCACGACTAGAGAGCAGTCCCCGCTCTCCACAACCAGTGAAGGCCCCAGCGCAGCTACAAAAACCCAACCCAGCCAGAAAGGAATAAACAAATAAAAATAAAACACTTACAAAAAAGAACGAAAACAGGCTTGGAGCCAGTTGAATAACTTCTCTGGGTCTCAACTGATCCATAAAATGGGAATAATAATAATAATTGCACCTAGTTCGAATGTTATTGTGATTATTCCCTTATTGAGTGAGTGTTCAGTTGCTCAGTCATGTCTGACTCTTTGCAAGCCTGTGGACCGTAGCCCATCAGGCTCCTCTGTCTATGGAATTGTCCAGGCAAGAATACTGGAGTGGGTTGCCATTTCCTCCTGTAGGAGATCTTCCTGCCTCAGGGATTGAACCTGCATCTCCTGCTTGGCAGATGGATTCTTTACCACTGCGCCACCTGGGAAGCCCTTTCCTTTATCCAATAGCACTCCATAAAAGTAGTCATTACTATTTTAAAAAAATTATTGGACATTGTTTTATTAATCAAGATAAACTTTCTATTTATGTATTGGGGCTTCCCTCGTGGCTCAGATGGTAAAGAATTTGCCTGAAATGCAGGAGACCTGGGTTCGAACCCTGGGCTGGGAAGATCCCTTGAAGAGGAGATTGGCAGCCCACTTCAGTGTTCCTGCCTGGAGAATTTCATGGACAGAGGGGCCTGGTGGGCTATAGTCCACGGGGTTGCAGAATCAGACAGGACTGAGCAACTAACGCTATTTATGTATTAAAACTTCTTATTTAGGGAAGAGGTAGAGAGTGGTTGGGGGAAGACAGGGTACAGAAAGGCTGCCCCCTTATTTGAGAAAAAGTTGTTATCTTTACATTATTGAACCTTCATGCGTGTGAGCATGAGCAATCTCAGCATTTATTTAGGCCACTTTCTAGCATTCATCACTACAACTTTATAATTTTCTTTGTAAAGATTATACATACTTTTTGTCAGCATTATTCCTAGGCACCTTGGAGGACTTTTAAAATCATAACTGGAATTTTCTTAAAATTACATTCTCTCAGGAATTCCCTGGTGGTCCAATGGTTAGGACTCCGCACTTTCACTTCCAAGGGAGTGGCTTTGATCCCTGGTGGGTGAACTAAGATCCTGCCAGCTGCCATGCAGCACAGACAAAAAAAAAAAATTACATTTTCTAGTTGGTTATTCTGCTGTTATAGGAGTAATATTAATTTTTATATATTGTTTCCAGACACCTTTTTGATATCTCTTATTAATTCTAATAGCTTCAGGTTTTGAGAGGGTTACTATGTATGACCTTTGCTCCTCTACCAAGTTTAGAACAAATTAAGAAGTTAGGAGTCTGCAGGAGTCGGATAGTCAGAGGTATAAATTATCACCTTAATTGTTCATAAAATTGTTTGGGAAATATGGATTAGGTTTGTGGCTACAGTAGGCTCTTTAATATCCTGTCCC